AGGTTTGGGAGGCACGATTCAGTAGAAACTACACAAATCATTATGAGCCTATACAACTAAACTTTTCATTATTCTTATTCCAAGAATTATTTGAGAGTATAAACTTGTAGAAAACCCTAGTTTGAAGTACTTCCTCTTTTTTACTTACATTCAGTAGGAACAGAAAGAGTAACTATTTTCACAAGGCTGAGCTAGGATAGGGCAGAAGGTTCTGTGAGGCAATGAATACAAGAGGAGAATGTGCCACAGTATGGGTTGTGTGCTTTTCAAAGAATTAGCACACATGGTTTTTTCTTCCTAAGAATATAATAAACACCAGACTCTGGGTCAAACCCATGAACTGCCCCAATCATTGTTTGTGTCTGTGGTACCCTGGGCTATTTTGTGCAAGCACATGTAAGTCTTCTGGGGTGCCAGCCTCAAAAAGTTAGGTGTGCCAAACATCCTGAACTGCTCTCAGTAGGAACTAAGTCATACATTTTAATTCAGTGGCACTATCATATTGAGCCTGGCTGGTTGGTCTATGTGAATAGGCAGTAACTGGCTGTGTTGTTAAATACAAAGCAGATTTTGCCAAATGATTTCATGCAAAAAGACATGTCAGACTTTTTAATTCTTTGACCTCCTGCTGTTATGCAAGATGAACTCCCAAAATGAGACTGAGCCATGGCCGTATTTTTACAAGGTAGCTCAGCATTTGGTTCTGAAAACAGGAAAGGGTGGGACTGACTACGGTACTGTCCACAATAGTATGGCCACTTGAGAAAGTAGACTGGTTCTGCTGGCCAGGATGTGATCAAGGGCAGATCTGGTTTGGGGGAACAGTACCATGACGGTAAAGTGGTCAGAGATTTGCAACATGGAACCTATTTGACTTAACCAGAGTACTACAATTTATACACGTTTATGCTTTTAGCCAGCTGACTTTTTTCATGTTTCAGCCTATTCATATTGGCAGCTTGCACAGGTAAAAGTGATACCCTTTTGTAGTGCTGCTAGCAGATTACAGGACTAACATTTGCCTCATCAACAGACGAGGGAATGTTAAACTTTGACTATGCAATCGTGAGGAATGTAACATGAACCATGTATTATAATGGGGTGGAAGAGGGCACTTTTTAAATACTCCTGTGTTGAGGGTCACTGCATTAGAGGATAATAGTTTTAAGTGAAGCCACATTTCTAACAAGAGGCCAGATAACAAGGATAAATGAAACCTGCAGACAGTCTCAAAGCTTCATTTTAGCTATTATTTGTAATCTCTTCTCGTACCAAACCTTTTACTATGTAGGAAAATTGATTAATTTGGGTGTATCTCTACTCTCTGTGCCCACATGCCCTTGGACAGAGGAATGAACAAGTAGAGAAATGGGCAAGAGAGGAAGGAGGATGGAGCTGAGGCCGGATGGAGATGGGGCTGCATAATCCTCAAACTGAGTGATCAACTCCAGAATAATCAAGATAGAAATTTATGGTCCTAACATTAATCTTGATATTTAATCATTCTGAACAACGTTAAAAACAAAAGATTGTGTAATAGCATTAACAAAAATCACTTGCAATGGAATGATCCAGAATAAATATGGCTTTCTTTTTAGCATGAAATAGGAATCTGTGGAACTGGTCATAATATTCTCTCAGCACACAGCTCTGTTTAATTCCATATCCTCTTATCTATAAGTCCTACATTTAATTTACTACCATGTGAGTTGATTTATAGCTCTGCTTAGCAAAAGTGCAGTCATGATTAAAAGAATACTGTATTATCACATCTGATGGGCCTTGAAAGCATTTTTTTCCTCTCAGACTTTCTAGTAATTTTGAAAATGAAGTGCAGACTCTTCTAAGGCTAGATTTGCAAGTTGCCAGTCTTTGCTACCTCCCTGTACTTGGAGCAGTGGCAAGATGAGTCAGGGGTATGTCTGGTGGCATAATTTGCCCAGATACTGTCTCCTTATCCATCCTTAGAAATAGAAAGCTACTGCAATAAAGTTTTAGAGCAGGTCTGCTTCAGAGAATCCCAGCTGCTAGTTCATCTCTTATCAAGCGGGTATCACTGCCAACCTCAGCCTTTGCCTTTTGGGATGCTGCTGGACTTCAGGGTTTTCCAGTTCGTGACAGAGAGCGTTCACTGCTTATGCATGAGTGATGCGTTTTGGAGTTGCTGCTGTGACAGACACCTGCCGGACACAATATGCAATTGGTTTGGGTAGTCACTTCAGTGCACATGACTAAATTTGCACAGCCAGTTATTTCCACAGGTTGGTCAGAATTGGTTGTTCTCCACAGCAGGCAATTTTCCACTCTCCTGTTTTGACTGTGCACCGTGACCATTTGGCAGTAGTTTTCGTTCTAAGAATAAAGAAAATGCTCTTGTTCAACAGGTGACAACAAGTTATTATGTTTTTATTCTGTTAAGAACATTATTCCCGTTCTCTGATTCTATCAGTTGAAAAAACGAGTCACTCTAGTTTTGGCTTTATACATTTTTGGAATATATTTTTGACCTCTGACAAAAATTATTTCTCACAAAGGATTCACCTGAAAATCACCATGCTTACAGTTCAATTTGTGGGGGCTTTCAGTTATTCAGAATCATAGGAACCCAGAAAAGAGTTAAAACGCATAACTGTGTTATGAAACCAAATGGGAGAAGTTTGATTTTTAAATCAAATTTGACAGTGGGGCCTTCGCAAAATACAAAAGTAAATAGTCTTTTCATGAGTAATTATTATTTTAGTCAATATGTTCTTCACTTTGGACCTAATCTCATGTAAAAAACTTTATTCACATACTATACAATCAGTCTTCACTTATTTTAATTGTTAAATTACTAGCCTTTAAAATCTCTGACATTTTTGTTGAAGAACACAGAATATACTCCTATGAAGGATTTATGTGTCTAAATTGCCCTCCCCACCATTTGCCCAAATCACTATCCCCAAATACAGAGCCATAGTTTGTCAAAGCTCAGATGGTTATGAAAGGTTATGTAGTTCAACTAGGATAAAAATTACCAGGGCAGCTATTTTTTTTGTCCAAACTATTTTTGCTGACGCATGAAACCTCCTGAAATTACCTTTCCACCCATTGCCAGTTAAGTATCACTGATTTTGTTTGACACTTTGATCTCACTGATAAGGAGACATTCTTCCTCTCACAATTTTGACTAGACTTCTTAATAAAACCAAAATTATTTTCAACTTTAGCATGACTAATTTTTGATGAATGGAGTTGAAGATTCAAAAATTGCTTCAGTGGATGATGGAGCACAAATTATTTATGCTGTATGTTCTAGAAAACAAATGATGCAGAATCTGATATTGTTAAAGAAAAACATGTCCAAGTCACTGATCAGGACGTCAGTAGATAGGAAATGTTACAAATTTTTCTTTGCTTCAGTGCTACGTCAGGCACTGGCAAGATTCGTACATGTCCTTTATCAGAGAGATGCCTGATAGTGAAGCACTCATATTTTGTCTCAGCGGTCCAGTCATTTCCCACAAGGTATGGGAGGCAGGCCTTATTGTGTTAGTTTTAAGTGCTGCCCTAGTTTCATTTTTAGCAGAAGGAGATTAATAAGAGTATTGATAAAAACATATCCACAGAGATATGTTTTAATAAAAAACATAAACTTCTCAAAAGATCTGACAGGCTCTAATGGATAGATATGGGGAAGACCCTGGGAAAGAATGAAATTGATTTCTCAGAGGACTTTTTATTCCCTGAAAAATTGGAAAGTTTCAGGCTAAGGGCAAAAGCACCAAAGAGGTTTTCTTTGACCCCTTTTCCTCTTCTAGGCTTTTATATCCATAAAAAGAGAAAGAATAAAGGTGTACGATTTCTCTCACATATGCTGAAAAGAAGCCTCCGTCCCAGGGAATGATGTTCATTTGATCTTCCATCTGCCCACCAGTACCTTGGTCATCCCTATAGCCCACTTGGGAACCACTGGTCTGAGGCATACACAGATTTGGGAGACTGGAATGGGATGGTTAATGCTTTTAAAATTTCTTTTTTGTGTTTATAACGTAGTTAAGAGCTTTGAATGATTTTTCTTTTTTTTTTTTTTTTTTTGGTTTTTTTCCAGTACCAGGAATCGAACTCATGACCTTGCACTTGCCAGGCAGGCGCTGTGCCACTGAGCTAAATCTCCAGCCCTGAATGATTTTTCTTTAGCTCTACAAACTACTCATTTGAGATATGAGGGAATGGACAGCTTCTTTTTGACTATATGATAATTAGTGAAAAAGCACATTACTTTTTAAGAACACTAGCAAGAAAGTGCCCACATTTACTTAGAAGACTACCTTTTTTTAAGTCAGTATCACAAGTTTGTTTCCCATTTTAAACAGGTCCAGTTTCTTGGCTAGGGTATTAGAAAAACTGCAAAAATGCCCCCACCCCACAGTGATTTGGTGTCTTTAGCTCTTAAACTGAAAGGTCCTGTGTAATGTCCAATCTGATTATTGTCCACTTGTTTTTTCAGTCTTATCTGAAAGTGTTTGCTTTGGCTACATAGAAGCCAAAACCTTAACTATACTAGACAGTTTGGAAGGGGATCAGCACAGGAAGTTTTAGAATGTAACCTGAAGTGGTGATTGTACCTGCAAAACAGGATGGTTGTTTACTATCCCTTTGAAGTCAGTTCCCTTTGTCCAGTTCTTTACTGCCGTGAATCTCGATTTGGGAGTAGAGGCAGGATCATTGCCATCTACTGTCTTACTCTACACAAAGTCCCAGAATGATTGTTTCCGATTTCTAGACAAAATAGCATAGCCCGGCATGTGTTGGGCGCGTGCAAATCACTATTTTTAGTCTCTATGGCCATGATAATGGCCTTCAATTCCAAAGTCAGAGCTTTGGAAAGAGAAAACTGATATGTACTTCTAAAAACCAGGGGAAAGGAAAAACTACATGCTTTTGAAAGTTAAATTATAACCTTTTCTTTTGGTTTCTATGAAGAAGAATGTACTAATACAGCTGCCAATTTCTTTCAGGTGGGTGTACATGGCATTAGAATAGAATTCATCAATGAAAAAGGATCAAAACGCACCGCCACCTACCTACCGGAGGTTGCAAAGGAGCAAGGTCATTGTTGTACTTTATTTCATATGATCTGTTGAAGAATTTAAATAAATACACAAATTGAAATGCGATATCTGACCTTGCAGTTATGTCTGATAATTGACCAGTATCAAATTTTTAGAAAAGACTCTTCCATCACTACTACTGCAATGTCTGTATCAGATCGGTCAATCATTCACATGGAAGCTGAATCTTTGTCCTGAAGTTTGACAGCATATACTCACAGATGTATACTTTGAAAAAAGCAAAATTTTTTAAAGTTGGGTTTCATTTTAGGGAACAACTTGCTGGTGATTTGCAATGCCATTTTCTCTTATTCCATTGTGCCGTATGTAGTGTTGTAGCTTAAATAAGCCTTTAATTTGACAGTCAGCCACATAGTTCATTGTCACTGTCAGTATCCAATGTTTCATTCTTAGGTGCTTGCCATTACTCATTCTTCTAATATTAAGAGTGTAGATTTCTCATTACTATTCAGAGCATTGTGAATCCATGAAGTGTTGGTCTGCACTTCCTAATCACCAAACATTTTATTTCACAAGACATAGCAGAGACCTTTATAAACAAACACTGCAATATAAAATAACTTCACTTTATAGTATTCTGTCTACTTTAAATTCTGTCATCATATTTGTTGAAATGAGTATCTCTTTTATAGAGCTTTTCTTCTCATCAGAAAACGTTTAGATTTTGTTTCCTATGTTTATCAAATAAATATGAGATACATAACAGGAAAAATTTAATGTTATTGAACTCCTAAGCAAGAAAACCTTTAAGGCAATTATGTGAAGATTTATTTGAAATGCTTTAGAAAATGCTTAATCCTACAGTATACATATACTCCATAAAGCATACATAAGAAAGAGAGGGAAAAAAAAGAAAGAGAGGGCCTCAGTATTAGTAGTATATCATCCATGTCACAGCCAATAAAATGCTCTTGAATATTGCACACAAATATACTTGATGGGTTACAGAAGGTACCGTTAAGACCAGCAATTGCTGGAGCCTTAAATGCTACTGAGTTGGCACAACATTTAGGCCTTTCCCCCTTTTCTAGAAATGTCACTGTTAGAGAGTACCAGGATTGTAGTTTGTTACAGAGATTTGACTGAGCAGTTTTTGCCAATTTCTTGAGTCCTTGCCTTTGAATGTGGTTGAGATGAAGAAGCCAATGTCAGACATTATGAATAGCTAGAGCTTAAGGTAAACGATGAACCTGCCTTTGTAGCTCTTGTGTATGACTGTGTTTAGGACCAAAGGAGTTGATGGCATTGGCTACAGTGCTAGCTGACGTCTACAAAGTCATTTTGTAGTTAACCAAAGGTGCCTGTTACATGTACTTGACTGATACTTTATTTGGTTGACTCTCCACAGGATGGGACCACATTCAGACCATAGACTCCTTACTAAGGAAGGGAGGATACAAAGCTCCAATTACTAATGAATTCAGGAAAACCATAAAACTGACCAGGTACCGAAGCCATTTTCTGGCATAAGACTAACCAATATATTTTGATGCTAATCCCTTTGATTTCTTTGGTCTCTAACTATACTTGCTTCCCTTTTCCGAAACAATGGAAATAAATGGCAGGGTGATACTGATGGTAGGTATAATTAAACTCTGTTTGGCAGTAAAGCTTGTATGGTGAACGAGCCCACCCTTCCCATCATTAGCTCTGTGTGATTATTCTGGCTTTGTGCAAACAGTTTTGAGACTGCTCCTGGAGAAAGTACCAGAGTAAGCTATTGGCTAGCTTTTGACATTGCCTAGCAGAACCCTAGGATTCTGATAAATAGTCCTCAAATTTGAATTTAACCTTAGAATTTTGGTGATAAATCCACCACAGAAGCTCATTGAAAAACACAATGAAGCTAAACTTGAATGGTAAATAAACTGCATCATGGAATAGTAGGAATATTTATTTAAAAGGGACAATATCAAACACTGTGGGGAAATAGATTGTGGTCTCCATTTATTTCAACTCCAGAAAACTGTGTTGAGTGCTTGTAGTCTGAAACTGGACTTGTCTCAGCTCTGGGCAGTTACAGATTTGAAAATACCCAATTTCTGCTCTCACTGAGTTTACAGTTGAGGAGAGTAGAAAGGCATGTACGAAAATAATTACTATAAGGTCCAGCGTGGTGGCATACGCCTGTAAGCTCAGCACTTGGGAGGCTGAGACAAGAGGATTGAGTTGGAGGCCAGCCCGCTACCTAGTGAGTTCAAGGCCAGCTTGAGCTGTGAAATGAAAACTTGTATCAGAAAATAATTTTTTCACTAGGGCAGAATATGATGGATGATGTAAGATCGTAATGTTGGAAAGAGGAATCCCAAGAGGGTATGGAAAGGTAACAGAAGGTATCAAAGAGAAGCTGGATCTAGGACTGAGTTTGAAGAATGGGTGGAATATTTGACAGGTGGAAAATTAAAAAAGGGACTCCTTGAAGACTTTGTGAGTCCAGGCACGTAGATGGCACAGTACAAAGTAAGTTCTGAGGAGTGTGAAATAGTCTGATTTGGCTGGTCTCTCTATGCACATAAGGAAGGTAGTCATTAGAGGAAAATATGGCCGAGAAGGTAAATCGAGGCAGGCGGTGGAGGGTCTACTGTTGTAGTCTAAGAAGTTTCTGCAGATTGTATAGGTAATTGGTAGGCAGTATAGGGTTTCAAACAGATGGCCTGGGGAAAGTGTAAGATTGGAACTGGGAACAGGAAAATGAACTAGGAAACATTGCTGATATCTGAGAACCTATGGCAGGATTCCAAAGAAGTGTAATGGAGGGTCTTTAACCAGAGCTGTGGTAGTGGAATAGGAATAAAGGCAGGGTCAGATGTGAAAACATTGTGGAAGAAATGAAAGGACCTGGTCACCATTTAGAAATAAGTAAGGCTTTAATCTAGATTTAAAAAAAAAAAAAAAGGTCATCCTGTCAAGCAAGGTGGGAAACACAGAGTTGGGGATATGTGTCGGTTCTGGATTTGAAGGCCTTTTTATAAATAAATGTAAATGTTGAGTAGATTGCTGTACACGTGCAGAGTGCATGACTAGAAGTGACTGACTGGTATCTGTAAAGAGGTCATTGTTGAAGCTGTAAGGATTGGGTTCACCAAAGGGGACAGAATATAGAGTCACAACAACTACGGATAGAAACTAGGAAAATTCTCCAAAGCAAGGGTAAGATGAGCAGTCAAAGACATTAGAAGCAGGAGGAGAACCCGCAAGACGGAGAGCTTCAGAAAGAGAGTGAGGGGTGGTACCATAATGGGAAGGTCAACCACAAGCAAAGGCCAAACTTGCGGAGCTGCTTCCATGGAAGAGTGGCAGCAGAAGCTAAGGGGCCCTGGCCAGGGAAGAGTAGGAAAAGGAGACTGAAGGTAGAAACTATATGTTACTCCTTGGAGAAATGTGTCAATGAAAAGAAAGCTAGACACTGGGGAGAGAGAAGACTTTTATATCAGAATTAAGTAGATGTTTGGCAGAAAAAGATCAAAGAGGGACAAGTGACAGATCTCGAAGATAATGACTCCAGTGAATGAGATGTATATATTATAATAAAAGGTTGACCCTTCCCTGTTCCTTCCCGTTAGCAAACTTGGACTCCAGTGGTAATTAAATACCTAGAGCAACTTAAAACAAGAAGTATCACAGAAAGAGCACTGGACTCAAGTTTGGATTCCTGTGTGCTGGTGTCAGTTTTGCTACTTACTAGCTGTGTGACTGGGAGCAAAGTCACTGCTTTTCCCTAGGCTTCTGTTTCTTCATCTATAAAATTATCTCTTGAGTCTTCATAGCTCTGACAATGGCATATCACCTATTTCTTGATTTTAATTTTTCTCTCCCTCAATTTTCTTTCAGATACCGTAGTGAAAAGATGACCCTGAGTTATGCTGAATACCTAGCTCATCGCCAGCATCATCATTTCCAAAATGGCATTGGACATCCCCTTCCACCATACAACCATTATTCCTGACACTGAGCCGCACAACCAGTCACTGGGCCTCTCTGCAGACTTCTTCCCAGGAGACTCTACACCTTCTTGGTCTAGCTATCTCTTTTACTGTACCATTTTATGATGATAGTTTCCGTTGCCATGGTGACGCTTCAATATCATCACTTAAGATCATCATGGTAACGGGTAGGAAAATGGCATTTGTTAAGATTGTTTTATTCTTCTTAGATCATTGGGGTTTTTGCAGCATATATAACGTTTTGGGTTTTGTTTCCTTACAATAGTAGTATTTTGCTTTGCTGTCTCAGTCAGGTTTATGTCTTTCTGTCCTTGCCTTCTTTCTATTTCCTCTTCCTTCTCGCCTTTCTTCCTTCTTCCTCCCTCCCTCCCTCCCTTCCTTCCTTCTTTCCTTCCTTCAACTGTGGATGGAAGAAAGTGTGCAGATTTTCAATTTTTTTTTAGGATTGTCTTTAGTTTTTCTCAGTAAGATAGTTATTTTTTGATAGCTAAGTTTGGGAGTAATTCATATCAAAATCAGGTATTTGTATATTACTCATTAATTTGCCCAAAATTCCCTTTGCTATGAGAGCTTAGAATCTGAGTCTTCAGTCCTGGAGATTATGTATTCCCCATGGTTAAACTATAACTTTAGTTGTAGTAGAAGGTCCATGATAGGGCTCGTCACAGAGCGATAAACCATTTATGCCTACTGTACTGGCTATCACAGATAGACGAGACTGCCTCAACACTTTATAGAACCAATTTACAAATTAAAACACTGTTTTTAGAAAGTATAGACTGCCTTACAAATAGGCCACAGACATCATTTTGAAGAGCAGCAAATATTAGAGAGCAGATGCAGAACTTAGTGCCTTTGAGAAGAGTATAATGAAGTGGAATTAAGAGCAGTTAGAAGAAAGGCAATTTAGAGAGAAATATTCTTCTAAAATTTTATTGTTTCAGTGTGTGAAACAACAGATTAGACAAATTCCCTATGCTGAAGTATTTTTTTAGCTGAAAAAATTTATTTTGAGCAAATAACCAAAAAGACATTTGTCTATTTTATATTAATTTAAATTTGTTAGCTTTAGGTTTCCATAAGTCATAATTGGCCAGAGTCAATTTTAGCTACCATCTAAAGATATGGGAAAGATAATGTAGTGAAGCAAAAGTTGATATATGCCATGATTTCAGATATGTGTGTCTGTCATGGAACAATACTAGAATTTCAGAGATACTATGAAATAGCTTGAATCTCTTTCTGCACTACATACTTTTGATAGAAACATGTTTACTATGTTGATAAGATAATTATGTTAAACCTATAAAGATGGAGTTGGCATTCAGATGTGCTGTAGCTACAGCCTAGCTCATTTGTAGGGCTATTCTCCCATGATGCAAAGAGAACTTAGTGGTATCAAGAGGAGGTCCATACATGTATCCCCAGAAAACTCAGTTCCTGGAGGAAGGTGACCTTCGCGTTATGGTAGTATATATATATATATAGACATAGATAGGTAGGTAGGTAGGTAGATAGATAAATATATTTGGGGAAAATATATAATATTTTCAAACAGGGAATCAGTATATCAAGTGATGAGTAAAAGTATGCTGCAGAATATATATTCTAAATTATAAGAAATGTCAACTGAGTATCAAATGATATAGCAAATGCATATAGCTGTGACAGGTGACAGAGTGCTAATTCAGAATTCAAAAGTCCTTTTTCAGTTTGTGAGATACTGGCTGAATTCCTCCTGCTTGCCACTGAGGCAAAGCGTACTGCTTTAGTTTTTGATGAGAGTTCTTAGGAGTTGGTTGATATTCCTTCATCCACAGCATCCATTATTGAAATAACCGTTTTCAGTTGTGATGCCTTAACTAAGAAGCCAATTGTTAGCCTGAAATGCAGCCTGGGTAGCCAGTCCATTGAACCCAGAGATAAGGAAAGAAAAAGTTAGCTGGTGAGCTTTAGAAAGGGATTTTAAATCTTGTCATTTCTACTTGGGAGCATTTTGGAGTACATTAGTTTTTCAGTATAAGAAAAAAGTGGCTACCTTATGGAGACTTTTTCTTGCCCTTATAGGGAAACTGAGCACAAGTTGAGTGATATTGTCTGCTGCAAAAAAAAGAAAAAGATAAAATGAAACAAACTAAAGAGAGACGAAATAGACCAATATTCTTGTGAAATCCATCTTATCCATCATCTCATCAGTTCAGCAGGCTCTTTGTCCTGGATGAGCTTATGGTTAGAAGTTTTTTTAAAGAAGAGATCTATTACATACACATATGTGTGCGTGTATACATATAACTTACACATACGTGCATACATATGTGTGTGTTTATATATTTAACGGTGCTATTCAATCTTGAGCAGGTCACGTGACTGGTCATGCGGACTCTAAAATCATATCAGATTTTTTAATCCTTGATATATGCAGATGTTATACAGATTTTCTTACCGGTGTAATAATGTTATACTGAAGAAATAACCATCCTGCAGGCTTCAAAGGACGAGGTCAGCAATATTCCCCACCATGGCTTGGGGCAAAAGGATAGTTTTGTGTCCTTTTGTATTCAAATTGATGCACAGTGCATTTTTGTCTCTTAAGTAGCTGTTGACTAAAAGACTTTGTAGTGTAAAGGGTGTTATACAAACTGTAATGGTGTGCTTCAAACAAACGCTAGACCCTTTCACCTTTGTTGTATTTACGAAGCTGTTAAAATATGTGGTTTGAATTAACTTTGAAAATGTTGAAATATGTAGCATGTGTCTTTAACTCAGACGAAGATTCTAATATTGCAGAGGTTGTGTTCTAGCCAGTTGTGGTTTATTTGTTCAGAAACACAAATGTGAATTTCACTCTTATCACCAGAATATTGTACAAGTTCAGTGATCTTTAAACAGCTCAGAAGTAATACTTGAACTTCATTGGAGTAGCACAAAGTTTACATAACCCCTTTTAAATGTTAATTAGGTCCATATAAGTTTTCTGTTTTCAAATGCAACTGGGTATTTTTCCTCTTTCTTGCAAAATAGCATGTGTTTTACTTTCGTGTATGTAGCGAAAGGCTTCCATTTCTGGAAGGGTTTTCTTGTTCTTAAACAGCCAGGTACCAGATTCAGAGAGAACAATTATTTCCCCCACCCCTTAAGTGGCCTTCTGACTGCACAGGACTGTGCTACTACCCTCCCTGGTCTCCCCTGCCAGGAGGGCTTGTTGAAGTTGATGGAGGAAGTGCAAGGCTTGCTTCCCCTGCCCCGCCCCCATTTAAAGCAGTTTTTAAGATTTTCAGTCCAGTGCATAGAGTCCTAATGCCCAGCACACCGGAAGTTTGTATACTGGCCTCTTTTATTGTCTTCAAATGTGCAGGAAACTCGAAACTGTCATCTGGAATCGATTCCATCTCTTATGTGTGTTAGAGCAAACCAAAGAAGCCCCCAGCCATGCCCACATGCTGCTCCAAAAGCCTGCCTTCCAGTCCTTACAAAAACCTTGCAGGATTAAATGTGTTAACTTTTTTATTTTTGTACAGTTTCTAAGTGATTTTTGCTAGTGATGTTAAACTGAATTAAGTTTGAGGAGTGTGAGCACCTCCTCCATTTAAATAAACTGGTGACTTTTATTTTTAAAAGCAGAAACCTATTGTGTGCCTCTCGATTTAAGGGTTTCTGATTACATTATTCTTAAGACCAGCATTGATCCTTTATATACAAAGATATGTTTTCTTTGTTTTTTTATTACTGTTTCAAAAGAAAATGAACCTTTTATTTTGCTCTGGACCCAGTAACTGCGCTGGTACATAGACGCACTGAGAAAATAAACTTTTGTAACCACCTGTGACTGCTTTTGTATATCAAAGTTGATTACTTTTGAAATATTTGGATCTAGTTTCTAAGTTATTTTAGTGTTTTGTATGTTCCCTCAAATTACTTTGAATCGGTCACCAGCATAATGAGTTTTTGGTGATGCAATGGTGAGACTTGTAATGAGCAAAAAGCTACCTGGAGTAGCTCTTCTTTTCCTTCTTTCTTAGTAACCTGTTTTTTGATTACAGTAAGAATCACAGATTACCTGAAACCCCTTCCAGTATAACTAGGTCCTCCTTCCTTCCACATTTAATTGCTTAATAGTTTAAAGAAATTATTGAAAATGGGCATTTTATATGATATGTATGGCTTTAAAATATTAAAAATGGGAAAAAAGAAAAAATATGAGAAGGTTTATGTTGGTCTGTATGGTATGGCTGTGGAAAGATAATGTAGTAGTTTTGACACTATTGTTATTACCTTTTAAAGTCATTTACCCAATAAAATGTTAAAAGCAAGCTGTCATTCGTTTGTTTGTCAGCCTTATCCCAGGATCTTTTTCTCAATGGTACTTCTTACAAAGAGGTTAACAGCCGACAGCTATGAGCTTAGCTATGTTTAAGCCTGTTCCAGATAGCTCCCCAGTCAGTCAGTAGTCACTGGGCATTTCCTTTTGTGAGTGGGTGGTGGACAGTAGCAGTGCTATCCAGAGGAAATCACCTAATGAAGTAGGACCCCTTTCTTCTGCCATCAAGGAAGGCTTAGCCATTTTCTCAATACAGGCCACACTCTGAAAATGTCCACGATGTGGCCACCCAGCACTCGTACATACCCCCACACACACTAGTTGTACACCATGCACTTAAACTTGGTACAGTTACTTTTTCCACTCCAGATTGGCACCTCTAACTCAAGTTTGGGGAAAGCTCTTGAGTGTGGGTTAAGACAACTGGTGTTACTGATTTTCAAGGGCCAAATAAGAGGCTACATTATGAAAGGGAGGGCTGGGGATATAGCTCAGTGGCATAAGCTCCTGCCTGGCAAGCATGAGGTCGTGAGTTCGATCTCTGGTACCGCACCAAAAAAAAAAAAAGAAACGGAGCTCCTGGGGTGCTACCTCTGGCAACTGTTGCCCTATGTCATTCCTTATGAAAAGGCTACCAAGGACATTGTTGAAATACCTCTCTGGCTCTTTCTAAATCATCTGCTGTCTCACTTTTATCATTCATGTTTTCAGGTTGGTTGGTAGTTGCATAAATGCAGGATAATTTTCTGTTACATTGGCCCAAAGCCCTCGTCCCATGTGAATTTTATGACATGTGCTTATGCCGATCATGGTGACTAAAAACAGCCACCTCAAAACCTAAAAGACTATCATGGTTACAAATAGTACTCTGCTAAAGCAGCCATCTGCTTAGGGTTTACTCATTGTCATCATTTGTTTTTAATGAGACATAAGCTTTTTTAATGATTTGGACAATATTAATAGCCTCAGGTGGAATGAAATAACAAGCCCGTGACGTTCTTTTTTATAGCATTAGTGATTAACTCAATGGTCCGAACAGATTTCAGCTTCACTTGTCATGCTCCACCTACCTAAATTCTTTCCAGAGTTTCAGCATCCCCTCTTTAGATCTCTTGTCCCATTGGACACTTCTTAAATAAGTCTACTGCTTTGGAGGGCAAGCAGAGCTGTGTGGGATGAGGCACTTTCTCTCTGTTAATGGAAAATATTGTCATATCCACAGGACTCTATCAGTGTGAGCTAGGAGAAAGTGCTGTGGGGAAATTACACCTGGTTCATAGCTGCCAGCCAAAAGAGCCAGTAAATACCCACTCAGAGTGGTTCCTCCCTGTTTGTGCAGCACTGACTGCATGAGCTGAGTCAAGAGTACATTTGGGCTGGTTAAACTCTTGGCTTTCCATCTGTTTACCCAGGCGTTTCACCTGCACGAGGAGAAGCTCAAAGGGAGAATGAAACTGAGGCGTTTGTTTTTTAGCTGCTGCAATGAAAAGGCCTCCTTGATGTTTGATGCCTGTGGCCCCATGGCACAACCTTATGTTCCAAACACCATGCCTGATGGAAGAGACTTTCAGGAAAAGAGCAGAACTGCATTAGGTCCCAAGTCCTATTCAGAAGCCAGTCTACCTTCCCATCCTAAAAACCTCATTACGACCTTGCTTTAAAAAACATGACCCTTTAGGGCTAGGGCTATACCTCAGTGATAGAGTACTTGCCTAACATGTGAAATGCCCTGGGTTGCAGTTGCATCCCCAGCACATCCAAAAAAAAAAATTATACCTTAAAGTGCAGTAGTCTCCCCTTATCTATGAGGGATACATTCCAACACCTCCAGTGGATGCCTAAAGTTACAGAGTACTAAACCTCTATATACTATGTTTTTCCCTATTTACACCTATGATGGAGTAGAACTTATAAAGTAGTCACAGTAAAAGATTCACAACAACAATGAAATGGGACAATTGTAACTATATTGCATTAAAACTGCTAGCATCAATACACCGATATTTGGGGCTATTGTTACATGAAATGAGTGGTACAAACACACTACTATTACAACAGTCATCCTGGTAGGCCCCGGGAGGGACGGCCCCCAGCACACGGGGAGCCACGGGCAGGGAGCGCCAGTCTTCCCACCGGCATCTCACTCTCTGCCTTGTAGGCCCCCGGAGGGAGGGCCCCCGGCGCACGGGGAGCCACGGGCAGGGAGCGCCGGTCTTCCGACCCGCAGCTCGCTCCCTGCCTCGTAGGCCCCCGGAGGGAGGGCCCCCGGTGCACAGGGAGCACCTGTCTTCCGGCTGGCTGCTCGCTTCCTGCCTCGTAGGCCCCAGGAGGGAGGGCCTCTGGGGCACAGGGAGCCATGCGGCCATGAGCACTCTTGCACGCTGGCCTTCAGGCCGGCCGCCGCTGCTCAATTGAGAACTATCATGACACAGAGAAACAATGACACAATTGGCCCACCATGCAATGGCTGCAGATGCCCACCTATGGACATGTGTGAATCATTCAAACCTGGAAAAACCCCTGGGAATACATGCTATACAACGGGCCACTCTTGCTCCTGCCATTGAGAACCAGAAAGGTCTAGAGTCAGCAGAGGAGCAGCTGCTGAACAAGGACTCAGAGAACATGAGAATGCAGACTAAGCCCGAGGGGTCAGAGGTCCTGTGGACTGGGGTCATGAGAGCTGCTCAGAAGCTGTAAACTGGGAGGACCTTGCACAGTACATGCAGAGACTCCCTGGAAGCCATTCTTTCCCTGACAGTACAGGCTGGGGTGGAGCTCCGGAGAAGTCTGCAACAGGATTCCTGCTGCCTGTGCTGACAGTTGGGGAGAGGACACTAACTAGTTGTGGGGTCTCAATGCAATGGGAGGCTGGAGAGAAAACGCAACAAAAAAAGGCTTTGGCCCCAGACGGCTCACTTGGTTTTTGACAACCCTTAGGCTGTAACTACTTGTTAGATCCTTCTTGTGTATCTCTGTCTTCCTGAGAAACCACTTCTAAGATACCAACATGTATTACAGCAGTCACTGATATTTTCCTACTAATCTATCCATAACTCTGTAATGTTTGTATTGTTCCTATCCTATTTCATAAATGGATGCATGTTTATTATTATGTGTTTCCTACAACAACCATTGAGAATAGTTAATAATTATTCAATAGGTCACTCATGTATAGTTCTATTTATTTTCTTTTGAAGATACCTAAGTAGAGTACAACAACTATTGATAATCTCCTACCTCTTTTGTCTGTAACTCACTATTATTTGTCTATTTGTTTTCCTGAGAAACTATCTTGTAGATAACAATATGTAAAACAATAACCATTGATAATTTCCTACCACTTTGTCTGTAATTTGGTAAGCGCCCCCATTATTGTTATCCTTCTTTTACTCTTTAAAATAAAAAAAAAAAAAAACAGCCTGATAACTGAGATGACTACTAAGTGACTAAAAGTTGGGTAGCATACACAAGATGTGATCTAAAAATATGGTGAATGAATTTTTAAAACAATATATTCTAGTAAAAGACAGCTGTCATTGCCATTAACTGCCCTCAAAATACTTTCCCTTGCTTCAAACACATTTATCCCATTGCTAAGGCCACTTTGTGAAGCAGTTCTGGAAGTCCTCTTTCATAAGTGTCTTCAGTTGCTGTGTGTCTGCCTCACTCTCACTTGAAACTGAAGTCATAGAGTGCCACTCACAGTGAACAAAGTGGGTGAGGCTGCACCATAATGTTTTTACCAGCCTGCCTTTCTATTGGATGACATTTGGCAACAGCATTCATAGTATTTTCAGTTGTACCTGTTAAAGACACTCATGAAAGACTTCCACAACTGCATCAGAAAGTGGCAAGAATTATGTAGTAAGTATATTCTGAGTGAGGAGGGATATTGTGAGGGGGCTTATTAGCAGTGTGTCTTTTACTTGCAATAAATTTAAAAAATGTAAACATTTACCATATCTTTTGATCACCCCATCTGGGTACACTGTGCATATGCTGGACAAAGAGATGATTCACATCCTAAGTGAGAGATGATGTGAGGTTGCATCATGCTACTCATAACAGTGTGACATTTAAAACTTATGAACTGCTTATTTCTGGAATTTTCTATATTTGGACTATGGTCGACTGCAGGTGACTGAATCCACAGAGAGTGAAACCGTGGATAAGATGGGGACTGCTGCATAATATTCAGAGGGTAATGACTATGTATCTCAAATAGTTTAAATGGACACAGTCAGGGAGTAGGTGGGGGGCACAGGCTTTATATAAATAATCACTGACAGGTACTTGCCTATTTCCATCAGTGCTGATGACTACTTGGCTTGACAGTGATAAGATGTAGAGTGTGCTCTCGAAGTGCGGGACATGTAGCTAGGTAGTGACTGCACCGTATGCCTCTGTGCTGATCAGCTACAATAGCATCCTTCGGCCTTTGCTCCCATTCTAATAGGACACCTCCAGGTCACAAGCAGCTTTTGTTTTCCAATCAGAATCTTAGCTGGCACCTCATTATGTTAAAAGTATGAGATTTTGAGATTTTAAAGTGGTACTTCATGGCTGTAAGGTCCAAATGTATACTGGTGGCTTATAATGTTAAGAACAAGGCTGTTTAATATAAATTTATAATTGGGGTGACAATGGAAGTGGAATTACAGTCTCAAGACTCATTTGTTTCTATATTTTGATTTGACTGTATAATAGTAAGACAGTCTCAATTTGCACAGAGAAGATGGGGTACCTTACTTGTATAACTTTACAAAAATGGGTACATACAGGCCTAAAAGTTGGAAAACTCCTGTGTAGTCAACAAGCTTCTGAACCAATGAGTCAAGGCTTATAAGAAGTTCATGCAGGAAGAAGCATCATTCATAGGTTTCAACCAAAATGAGTCATCTTCCCAATTCCTGTTAACCTATTGGAGGCCTTCAATTGCCATTTGGATGTAACACATTAGGAGTCTGCTAAGTATTCCCTTCGGTTTTT